TAGAAATAACTCTTATCCTTAGTCTTTATAAATATGAAGAAGCTTTCTGATGAGAAACCACATAACCTAAGGTTGTAGCATCAAGGGAAAGACGTATAGTTCTTTATTAAGACTGCAAATAATTGATTCATTCGATGGTAGCAGTAAATATTGAGAGGGCTCTGCAGGCTGAAGCAAGTCGAACCACGTATATCCGTGTGTTATTTGTGTTCTTGATACTTTTCTGTGTTTTTTGTGTGATTAATATTAGTTTATTCTTGGAGATTTATCATAATAATTTTGTTGAATGAAATGGAGATAAAAATGAGACAGTTAGCATACTATTTAGTCATTGTTTGACAATGAAGCCTAGTTCTTAGGGTAGGGTGTTTGTCATATTAGAATCCCAAAGCTTTGGTAATTCTGTATTAAACCCTCAAATCTTCTAATGTCTAAATTAAACTTTCGAGTCATTTTTATTAGAAACGATGGTCTTAGTTAAAACAAATTTACTAGATTTTGGAGTCTTATTTAAATTAACTTAATATATTTGTAGTCTTATTTGAAATAACACAACAATTTGGAGAGGTCTATATTTAGAAATATAAAGATTTAAGAGCCTTGTTTAGAGAGATTTAAAGTATCTTATTCAAAACAACTTACGTGTTGAGAGTCAAATTTAGAAATATGAAGAATTGATATAGAATAAACAAAGGTGTTAGGATCTGATATAATAAAAATCTAACTAGATGATCTTTTCTCGAAACATCTTAGAGAATTTTTTTTTCAAGATAAAATAAAGCGAGAAGCACTATTCACATCATACTAATATGAACCAACTTAACTAGAATTGCATAACACAAAGAGAATATGAACTTAGAAAACTAGATCCATTAGTGAACAAGGAGAGGACCTTGTCTTCACTTGTTACACAAAATAGAGATGTTTCCTAAGCTCATATCCCTACACACCACATAATCTCAGTTGAGAGAAGAAAGCTACAGAGCTGACACTCTAAACTTACAGAATTCGTACATGTTTCAAAACAAGCATGATAACTTGACAAACAAAAAAACAAAATACACTAGGATGCAAGAGGCATGAGCCATTTGTTTGAAAAATATGAGAAATCATATTTCTTGTATTTTACATTCAAATGGCATGAAAAAAGACTCATGTTTTTCATATGACATTTAACTAAAGAAAATTTTCATTTCCTTATACTGTTATCAAAGGATATCTTGGTACTACTCAAGTTTATGGTTGTGTTGCACTAATCTAAGATACATGTCCAACCGTGCAACTGAGATATTGAAGAAAACCAACATCTCAATGATGCAGGATATTTTCAGTTGCTCAGTCCGGCTAGGCTTCAGTCCCTCAATAAAAGAGTATAAGTAGTCGTGATTTCAAAAGATCATGGCTACAACTTTTCTGACCCAGAAGAAAGTTACAGAGCTGACACTCTCAGCTTACAGAATTAGTACATGTTTCAAAACAAGCATGATAACTTGACAAACAAAAAAAACAAAATACACTACGATGCAAGAGGCATGAGCCGTTTGTTTGAAAAATATGAGAAATCATATTTCTTGTATTTTACATTCAAATGACATTAAAAAGACTCATGTTTTTCATATGACACTTAACTAAAGAAAATTTTCATTGCCTTATATAGTTTTACTGTTATCAAAGGATATCTTGGTACTACTCAAGTTTATGGTTATGTGCTGCACTAATCTAAGATACATGTCAATTGTGCAACTGAGATATTGAAGAAAACTAATATCTCAATGATGCAAGATATTTTCAGTTGCTCAGTTCGGTTGGGCTTCAGTCCCTCAACGAAAGATATAAGTAGTCGTGATTGCTAAAGATCATGGCTACAACTTTTCTTGCCCAGAAGAAGGTTCTCCAGGTAAGCTATCAATACACATTCTAGGCGTCGAAGAGTCACGGAGAGAAGTCGGAGATATTTATTTCAACACAGGCCAGAGTCCTATTTATATCGACGGGAAGATACACTGGAGAATCTCCTATGCTAATTCATCAATAGATTTGCACCTATTATCTATCGACCTCGAAACTGAAGAGGGTAAGGCAATAGACAATGTTTAGAACAACAACAGACAGTTGCAGCTCACACAGCTCAAAGAGAGCATCTCTGTCATCATTACTTCAAAGTCATACATCAAGATATGACATCTCAAGGAATACCACAACATAATTTCCTAGGAAAGAACTCATATCATTGAGCTCCCCCACGCACCGGCAGGGACACCTTACAGGTTTTCGAGACTCGTTGGCATGTGGCAACGCGACGATGCTTTGCAGGTTTGGTTACACGATGTGATGATCATGTACGATGAAGCGAAGAATTCTAAAGAAGGGTGCAAGATGTACGAGGAGCCTGCAGTTTCAAGTGCATGACATCTTCACACAAGTTACAGGTCGAGCCTTGTGCCTCTCAAATATGTCATTGGTTGTAATTAATCATTCACTAATTACATATAACATCTTATTAATTATGCATTTCCTCACTTTTTTGAAACATTTGTCATATTATTATTTTATTACTATTTAAGTATGTTGTTTCATAGAATATTTAGAATTTATCTCTAATTTATCTTCACATAATATTTAAAATTCTAGAAAAATTAAAAATAAGAAAAATTCATTAGGTTTATGCCTTGTACCTTTCGATTTCATCTCTTATGAGGACTACATGTTACCTTTCATCTTATTAACCTATTAAAAGTATGATAATAGTATAAACATAATTATATTTATTGTAATTGTAATAGTATTTAATAGTATAATGATTTTAATAGTATTTTTAAAATTAATAAATTATACTATAATTTAATAATTACACAATTTAGTAAATTATTTACTAATAGTATAATAAACTAATTATTAAATTAAAATATAGTTACTAATAATATTATATGTATGCTATGTATAATATTATTATATTAAAAAGAAGAAATTATATAATATAAAATAATTATTTTTAATAAATTATGAATAAATTATAATAATTATCCAAACTATAATAGTTAATCATTTAGTTCTTTTTACATGTTTTATCATAAATTAATTTATTTAAATAAAATTATAATTTTTCATACTATATTCTTATACAAATCATTTCATTATTTGACCGCCAACAAAAAAATTATAAAATATGAAACAAAATAAGTATGCACTTGTGTAAAGCGCGTCCACTGTTCTAGTATACTTAATATTAAATTATAATTTAGGTCGCACCTAGGTAACCACAATATCAAACTTGGGCCCGGTGCAGGCCCACTAGACCCGCTAGCGAATGTATCCATTTAACGGCGTTTGCCACGCCATCAAAAAGAGTGGCGCCCACATAGCGCATTTGCTGGGCCCGAGGAAAAGTCGGTGTCTCCGCGTCCTTCAGCGTCGCTACTCCAGCTGTCTCTTTATTTTTTTTCGCGTTTTCCATTCTTTTTCTATTTTAAAAAAATGCGAATAATTTTATTTCGAGTAATTTATTACTTCCAACCATCAAATCAAAGGCTTGAAAACATCCTCAAATTAATTATATTCTCTTTTGTGGACTTTTTCTTCTCTCTACTTTATGCAAATTAATGCATTATGTTGCAACTTGCAAGTCACCTTAATTAACCTTAATACATATAAAACAAAAAAAATGTTCTTTTCACAAAGTACTCAACTACCAAGTTCAAGTTTTTGCCTTCGTTCCATTTCTTCGCTCACTTATGTTAATAAAAGACTTAGATAATGATTACAAGTCTTAACTAGCCCCGTTCTTGTTCCTTGACCCTTGCAATTTTAAATAGTAACTTATCCATGAGGAAATTCTGAATGAGATTATAATTTGGTCAGTTTCATCCTCATTTTTGAGTTGGGCAGTGACTACACCGCATGCGAGCATGGTATTATGAACCGTTTACGATGAGGATTAAGGAACAGTTTCAAGAGCTCGACTGCTCCTTTTGTAATTCAAAACACTTTGTTCGTAGATGATGTTCTGATAAAATTTATAATTCGCATTACATGCAAAAGGTTTAATCTACTAGATAGGCGAATCATGCTTGTTAGGAATGTATGGGCTTAGCCATACACTACAATACTATGAATTTAAATATTACCATCTCAGTTATAAAGGAACTCTTTATAACTATGCAATAATATGGATCACAAATAAATTAATTTTTGAATTTTTTTCTCTCCCACTAAATAGACTTCTAAGGACATTTCCCAAATAATGAAATAAACAAATAAAAAGTGGGTATTCAACCACTGAAGTCTCTCTTGTTCAAATTAATGGAGAGGCTCACCTTCCCCTAAAAAAAAAAGATTCAAGATGGCTACCTAATGCAATCCAACCATACCAAACCTAATAAGGTTTAATGATCATTAAAGTCATAGTTGAAACCTACATACAAATTTATGAACATTGTAGCTCTGTAGTCTCTACCCCAAGATGAATAGACTACATCCAATTCAAAAGTGTTCATATAATGAATATAATGAAGCTTAATTAGTTTACGATTCATTATAATCGGAATTATATATGTAATACTAATCTAGATAGTAAAGACTTGCTAATTTTAGTTGCTTTGATTTTACGGTCAAAAGGTTGACATTCTCTAGATTTGTGCAAATACATCCATTAAGAAGCATTAATTTACATGAAAACTAGCATAACCATCAACATTCATATCACTCCCAATGTCAAAAATCTATTATATTTGTACACTGATTGATAACATGGGCCTGCATTTAATCAATTTTTACTTCAAACGTAAGCAAACGGTTACAACAAAGTCCACCCTTAGCTTAATTGCCCCGCAAACTGAGGATGGATGCCCAGAGATATTCAAATCTATCTTACTTTTAAGTTATAAATAACAACTATGCAATAAAATCCCATGAACTGAAATTACTCTTGAATAACAAGAGATGAAGAAGAAAACCAAACTCTATTGGTTTAAAAAAGATTTATGTTCACTATAGAAAGAATAGGGGAAGAATAGGAGAAAAAATTTAAGAGATATTGGCAGAGTTACGAACATACAAGTTATATGATTTCCAATATTTAGCAAATTAAATAAAAAAAGTATTGGCATACTCACAAATTACACATTTATAAACAAACTGCGATGAGCTCATCTTTCTAGTTTGCTGAGTATAGCTTCCAATGGTGGTAACTCCTTCACAATTTGTTGCCAATCAGGCATTCCCTGAGAGTAGTAAAGAATTTATATGTCACAAAATATATTCCCTTGTTGCGTGAAATAGGATTTTTTTTCTCTGTTCTTTATTTTGATATAAGCATGAAGACATGGTTATTGAATGTTTGACTATGTAAAACCATGTTTATGCAGCAAAAACTATTCTGCGGCTCAAGAACAAAGTTAATTATATAAGAATGTGCAAGTTTCTTATCAAAATATGCTTGCTGAACTTACCTTCCCTGATCTTCGAACACGAATATAAGAATGTGCAAGTTTCTTATCAAAATATGCTTGCTGAACTTACCTTCCCTGATCTTCGAACACGACCATCTAACCGCAATATTATGTATACATCCTATGCTTGCTGAACTTACCTTCCCTGATCTTCGAACACGACCATCTAACCGCAATATTATGTATACATCCTCGCCAGGATTAACACCTTCAGACTTTTGCTGATCACGTATCCAACTAGAAACAAACGAAATTCAGATAAATTCATTCCATACTCAAAGCAAATAAACGTAAAAATTGAATAGTCATTTTTTTGTTAATATCTTGAAAGAAGAAGAAATTTGGAAAGTAGCACACTAGGGTATTTTAAAGCAGCCAGTGAAATATCAAGAACTTTTTAATGCTTGCCATATCCAAAAAACATTAGTGGAGGAATCTTGAACATGCACAATACCTTTCCCATTCTTCAAGAGATACAACCTCAGCTTTGAAGCGCACCTCAGCTTTCAACCGTGATTTTGCAGTTATAGATTGAGTTCTCTTATCGAAGTCTTCCTATGATATTGCAATTGAATAGATCATGTCAGAAAACAGATAGATGCATAACTTCAGTCCTAATAGTTACAAAAGACAGGTGACAGAAAATGTATCTCTATGAGAAGCTCTAGCCAAATATCATGGATTTCCATGAACACAGTAAACTTCAGTTGTGGCACGACAAAAAAAAGGCACATTCAATCTGTGTCCAATCCAAAAGATTAGGTAGTATAACAATTAACAAGTTCAACTGGGTCTGTTCATTTCCTAATCAAAATTTGCATGCAGTGGACAAAAGGAACTATAGTTACCTAAAGTTCCAATCCTAAAGATTAGGTGAGTACAGCAGATTAATTTGAAACCTAAGGCATCAACTTCTAGCGTATGTCGGAGGATACCGAACAGAGAAGTTTCAAGGAAGAGGCTAGTAAGTGTTCACGTTCAGCGAAAAAAGTATGTGATCATAATTGCATAAAGCTAGATATCCTTCCTTATTTCAAATAAAGGGAGTATAACTTAGGATATTTAAATTTGATCTACAAGTTAGCAAACAACATTTATACACTAAGGGTGACCTCAAAAATTCAAGTGTGCACATTGAAAATCTAAACGTTGGACTGTCCTGCCTAAGTACTTAATTACTGAAAACCTATGTATAAGCACTACATTTTGCTTAGATACTTGCACAGAAAAAGGTGAACGAGAAAAAAAAAGGGATGAGGATCAGGAGA